CTTCGGCTCCATAAGTCAAACCTGAACAAATGACATAGGTCAACAGTTTGCCCTTATTCTGTAAGAGAAACAAAATTAAAGGTAATTCTCAATAGAATTTTTAGTGTTATATAGTAAAATATTTGTACTGAGTATCAATGTTGATCCCTGTGGCTTAATGGTTAGACATGCAATTTCATAATTTGAATATACCAAGGTTCAATTCAGTTGCAGGCAATCTGCCATTGAATTACTTTGTGTTGATTTTGAGAGTATGAGCAGTTAGAAAGCAATGGCAAACTACAGAATATAAAAACTGTCTAGTAAAACCACAAACAGTGAGCAAATTCTGGGACTGGTTTGCAACATCAGTGATGTATATGCTACTAACCTTTTTAACTAAGTATCACTTATAGGTATATTATTTCAATATGTCAAGATAATGACGATCATTGTTTTGTTGTCTAACTGCAATTAAATATTCATGAAGTGGATGAATATCATCAATTATGTATATTTAGGTTGTCAAAAAAAAAAACAAAAAAAAAACCTAGGCGATCCATGTTTTCAAGACCTTTGCCAGTGCTATGGAGTTCAGAGATTAAACCATCTTGAAAATTTGTTTACTTGCATGCAGTGGCTTTGACATGTTGTTATCATGGTGGAGCAGTGTACTGGTTTTGACTGGACAGATATGACCAGCACAGGTAAGCGAGGATGACATAACAGAAAAGCAGATGTAGAGGAACCAGAAGATCTTAGTTAAAATATATTAATGTGGACTCAACAACCTTCCAATTTTATACAGGAACTGTGCAAGCATCAAACAATGCAGATCCATTCTCGATAGCCTTGTTTACAGATCAGATATCTTGGCCCTGCAGGAGACATGCCTGGGTGATGGAATGCTTCATATAGCTGGAGACAAGTGTTTTAAAACAGGTGCTACCTGGGAATTGCCATGCTTGTACGCAACAGCACAAGGGGTCAGAGGTAGACATTGCATGTCAGAGGACAATTACGAGCTGTAAAGTCAGACATTAAGAGTGTAGTTTGACGACTCATTGGTTTTGGTCAATGTCTATGCATGTAATGGAAAGGAAGACTCCCAAAAAAGCTGTGCTCAAATGAAGTTATCTCTTAAGAAGAGAAAACCAGTTTTCTGTGGAGATTTCAATGCTAAAAGTAAGTCATGGGGAAACTTTTCTTCAAACTCTCAAGAAGAGGAGCTCGCAAGTTGAACTTGAATCCACTAAATTTGTATGCATCAACAGCGGCAGTGTCACAGACTGGGGAACTGACCAGGAAATGAAGATAGTGCTACTGACATGAGACTGGTATTGCCTATGCTTACATATGTGTGTCGATGGACTGCCCTAGGGCGCCATGACAGTGATCATCTTTTCTCCAGCATACAACATTAGTTTATTTCATAAAAAAACCTTCCAAAAATGACAAAATAGTCAACAACAAAATTTCTTTTAAATATCACATAAAACGACATATTTAGCAAAAACAAACACACATAACTTACCTTATATAGAAGTTAGTCACTGACATGAGGCACCTCAAGAGAATAAAATAGCCAAACATGAAACACCACCAAGCACCACCCCTTCTCAGCCTATGCATTATTTCCTTGTTAAATCACAGGGTAGAGTGATATAAATTGTAGAATCAATTATGAAATAGAATGCACAGGCACATATCATCATAAAGGGAATCCCCACTAAATTTTTTTGTTTTGTACTTGACATTAGGACAACAAACAACCCAGTTTTGATAAAACCCACAGCCAGATCAGCAATAAGGCCTAACAGGTCTACGGAAATTCCCATTTTGCAAGGCCAGTCCACAGCTGGTCTGTGCTCACCATTGTTTTTAAGTAAATTAATTTACAAATTAAACTACAGTTTAATTAACTTGCAACACATTTTATTGAATGAATTATCATTATAAAGATAAATAAATGAGCCATTAGAAAACAGAATGACAATAATAAAATATTCAATAAAATATGCTGCAAGTTAATTAAACTGTAGTTTAATTTGTGAATAAATTTACTCAAAAACAATGGTGATTACAGATCGGCCTAACAAAGTGGGAATTTTATTAGACCTAATTGGCCTTACTGCTGGAGCTGGCCTTGATAAAACCTAATCAGTTTTCAGAAACTTATACACCTATGCCTGTTGCTAAAAACAGCACAGGAAACCCAAGACAAAGACTGGGAGAAAGGGCAGGTAACTTAGGAAAACTGACCCTGTGAGTGTCGCCAACCCATGTGGGAACGCTTATATAATGAGTGTGTGGGTTTGAATCCTAGTGAGCACCTCAGTTGTCAGGTTTTCATCCTAACACTCCAAACCCACGTGAGAACTGGACTAATATCTGAGCTATATTGATCCCAGACACAGTCCTGGATGAGCAAGAAAACAGCAAAAGTGGCTTGTTAAAATAAAATGAAAGTAGCTGTACAGGAGCAGGAAAAGGGATAGATAGATATCAAGATGAATCCAATGAGACAATATCAAGATACACAGTTAATCCCTTCGGAACACTGATTAACGAAAGCACAGATGAAGGTGATGCTATAGTTTACCCAGATGGGTCAGTAATTCAGGGCAAGCAAAGTGCATGGGCATTCACAGTAAGCTCAAGGGGGAAACTATCAGGGAGATAAATGGCTCCTTTGCTGTTACAACTAGTAGCTTTACAATGGAAACTATGGCTGAAAAAAGGCATTAGCATAGATTGGTGCTCAAAAGTTTGATGAATATTCTTTAAAAAATCTATGCTGAATTTATCAGCCAAGAATGGATTGCATCACTAAGCACTTCACAAACAATTGCTCTAGCCTTCATCTTTGTGCCAGGTAATGCCTTGTTCAAGGGAACGAGCGTGCAGACTATCTGACTGACACTGCAGTTGCTATGGCTGGTCCAGTACTGGATAGAAGTGATGTTATCAATGCTGCACTTACTATACCGAAGAGCACGTCTAGACTGATTGGCATGAGGGTGCAGCCTGGAGCTGCAAGAAATGAACATTTCACTAAGGGGACAAGACGTCTCATTAACCAACGCAGAACAGGCGCCATCAGTCCTTTTACACTTGTGGAGCTTTTGAAGAGGAGATTGGAGCACCTATGGATCTGTCTAGAGTGCTGTAATGATAATCCATTCTAATCACTAATCACTATGTCTGTGACTTTTAGCTCTACCAATATCCATCACGCAGGAGGTGCTTCTTGTCTGCAGCTTCTCTGAGATATAACTTTGCTTGCTAACAATGAGCCTGTCTGCGATAGTAGGCAGTGCAAGCATACATCAGATACAGACTACTGGGCATCTAGTATACATCCTAGAATTACTCGCATAGCTTCATTCTGTATGCGTTCAAGTTTCATCAGCTGGCTCTTTGATATGGTAAGCATTTCAAGTCCATAATCTATCACTGACAGGATCACATGCTGGTACACTGTGAACAATGCTGCCATAATCTTGAGAGCATTGAGTCCTTTTTGGCATTTTACTGCAACTGGCTCCACATGATTCCTGAAGGACAGGCTTCTATCGAAAATGATACCCAGGTACCTCAGTTTTCTTTCTCTTTTGATGTTACTGTTATTAATTGTGAGGCTTAAAACTTAAGCTCCCACAATTCTGTTGTCCAGAGAGCACCAAAAAACAGCAATCTTTTCTGAGTTTCTGAGCATCCATTTCTGCAGTCCAGTCAGTCACTTTGTCTACAGTTGCCTGTAGCTCTTGGGCTATCCAGTGCCTATTATTAGGTCTAAGTCCCTTGATCAGGAAAACCCTTCTACAGTCAAGAGAGCTGAAATGAGGAAAATCTTGAAAATTATAAATCTAGAAATAGATCGAAAGTAGGAGAAGGGGGCGTATCCCTCAAACAGCAACATCTGGTGTTCACTTTGTGAAACAAGGTTGATCTTGCTGGGTGGTTTAGCACACAAAGGTGGAATATTGGCACTAGATAAATGGTAAGCCTATTTTCTACAATGTCTCCAAGTTTCATCTTATTCTAGCCACTGTTTGCATGTAACTAATATTTCTGTATATCATGTTGGTTTTTTTGCATTAATGCCCAGGAGCTCAGGTATCGGAGGCAGTTAGGTTCAGGGCCTCAGGTCTGGTAGGAATAAAGGAATTACTACTGTCATGCGGGGTCTGTGGCTTAGGTGTTGCAAGTCTGACTCGCAATTCCAGCGTATTGTGATCAAAACCCACTGCTAGCTGCGTGAATTTTTATCGCGGTATGGGCATCGCAGTTCGACCCAGCCTAAAATAGGTGCCAGGATGTATGTCCTGGGGAAGTAAAGATGGCCGGCATAATGCAGACCACACTACCCACCTGGTCTGTAAAAATATGGGTGCTCTTCCCATCTGTACATTGCGCCTAAGGCTTAAAAAGGGATCTTCTCTTTTACCAGTGTCACAATGTGAGTGGAATGCACTATTGTACTAGCAACATGTATGGCAGAAGATGAGGACATTTTATCTGGACCAGACATGAGTCAGAAGGGTAAGGTTATGTAAGGACAAATATGTAAGTCGTGCATATGCCCCTTCTGCAAGCATGGGGATATTGAGAGAGGTGAGAGTTAAGGTTGTATATTATTCTATATATACAGAACTAGGGAAGTATACATTTTGACTGTTTCCATCCCTTATCCCCAAAGAGCCAAAAACAGAATCCATGTTATTTGAAAGAAGACTGCTGATGCTGAGAACACTGGCTGGCATGCAAATGTTTTAATATCAAATGATGTAAGAAACAATTAATCTAACATTGGGAGGAAAAGAAACAAAAAAGCAAAAAATAATTTATCCTTCATTGATTTTCAGTTTATTCTATGTTTGCTTAAGCCTTTAAATATTCAAGAAACTCATATTAAACATTAATGTTATGTCAACAGACAATTGGAAACAAGAAGTATTCATTATATATTTAATCTTATTTAATTAAAACTGAAAAAAAAGTTGTAAACTGACACTTACTGGATCCAATGTTTTGCTTTTGGCCCAGGTCATACAGGTTGAGATGAGAATGAATGTCTTTGACTTTTCAATTGTCTCAAGGTCAGAGTGCATTTCTGGTGGTAGAAAAATAAACAAAGAAATATGTCCTATGACAAAATTAGTCCAGCATACATATAAATCATGCTGCCAGCCCATTGGTATCTGATTTTCTTTCATTCCAAGGATTATTTTCAGGTGCCCAGATTAACATGGCTTAAAATTTGTACAAGAAATTTCCTGGAAAGCAAAAGTGGTCAGTGCGATACTGACCAAATCACTCACTGAGGGTTGTTTGATCTAACCCCACACACACAAAATTTGATAAGCACAAAATTTCTCAGTTCATTACACAACATGACAATGAAGCCTTTTATTTACGTTTTGCCCGGATATTTTACTGCCTGAAATATTATTTTATTGCCAGTTAACCTCCACTAGGTAGTACAGCTATAAATATATCATCTGCAGTCTAAGAAACAGAAACAAATGTTTCTTCATGATAACAAAGTTAAGAAAAGTCATTTTAGCTTGGTAGAAAACTTTCCACACGTTACAGGGGCATTTAGGGAAGCCAAAAATAGTAACCCTACAAGGCATTTTGTAAGATGTGACTAAGAGTAGGGTTGGCAACCTCATCTAAAAAGGAAAAAAAAACGATAATTGAACAATCAGAGAACAAAGATTTGGGGTTGGTGGAGGTGGCCTGGGGGAGTAGGGGTGGGGGAAGGGACCTGTAGCTGAGCAGAAACCTCTTCTCATAGAAGAAATAAATCTAAAAGGGATCAATGTCCCAAATCTATCTTCTTTCACTTAAGAAAATCTCCAGAATTATTATCTGGAATGATCTAATGTATGATTTGGGAAGGACAACAGATGTGGTAAGGAAAAAAAAAAAAACTGAACACGCAAATTATCAGATTATCACTTTGAGACTGTGTGAATAAATGGATAAATAAAGGAAGCAAAAATATTGTAAACATGGGTAAAACATTACTGTTCTCAGATCACAAAGAAGAAAATTATCGCTGCACGATGTAAAAGTTGATAAAAAGCGCAAAAATATTTACAGGTCACTATCTGTTTAAAAGAACAATTATACTGAAACTTCAGTGATGCATACAATCTTATAAGTATGGATATCACAAAACAAAAATCAAGAGCTTAAAAAAAAATTTACAATGTGTACACATGTAGTAAATGCTGCACAAGATCAAAGAGCTGCAGGAGTTTTGAGGAAAGACAGAATACAAAATCACAAAATCAAACAAATGCTAGAAATAAAGCCAGTCTTACAAGTCGTCAAAGAATAACAAATGAAGTGGTTTGGACATCTAACAAGAATGCCCGGGCACTATCTACCACAGCGAGCCACACTGAAATATTACAACGGATATAGAGCGAGCGGAAGACCTAGGCAATATGGAGTGATGGCATTAAGAACAGTGTTAAAGACATGAAATCAATATTATTAGTGCTCTTGACAGAGCTCATCAATTAACGTTATGTCTCCCCTGACACTTCACTGAGGGACAAGGTGGAAGAGAAGAATAATAATAATAATAAGAAGAAGAAGAAGGGATTATTTACAACTACAGTCTACTACAACTTTTGCCTTTAGTATTTGTTAAATTTATTTATATGTTTCCCCTTCTTCTCATATATTTCTGTTTATTTCTTAATTTGATTCATTAATAACTGATTGGTTTTTGTGGAGATTGTTTCAAAGGATGAGGTGCACATACCTGCTTTAAGCAATATGCCTGGTAGGCTGCTATTTTACAATTCGTTAAAGGTTAAAGTTGAGAGGATCCACATAATTATACTGGGTTTTATCTCATATGGCTCGGTCTCTCTCTGACAATGGCTAGACGTCTGCTGGCAGCGCTGCACAAAGTGTAGCTCTGTGATGATCCCCAGGGATCTCTGTAAAAACTGCACTTGTAAACCAAATGATGTAGTTGCAAAACAAACCCACAGCCTCAAATTTGCAAAAGGCAAATGGCCTTCACCACTGGGGTTACTTATTATTATTCTTTGCTTCCCTAAATGCCCAGGTGAGACAATGGTTAGAGATGATTGCCTCACATATATATTCATCTGAGAGAAGGTAACAGCAGATTGGAGGAGACAAAAAAAAAGTAAGCTGGAGGAGTTGCATGAGAAAATTGTAAAAGAAGTATGTCTTCAATTCCTTGAAAAATATTACGTAGGATCATTCTGAAACAAATAAAATAAGTTATTTTACCAAACAGTTCCTGCACTGCCCAGACAGTCTAAAATGCATTTAAAAAGTTTGATGTAGTGAAATAAACTTGCCACTTTATATTAGATTCGTGGACTGTGTAAAGGCCTTTGACAGCACTAATACTGAATTGATGAGACACTATAAGGTTCCAAGAAAATCATTCACTTAAAAAAGGGAACATTAAATTATATGAAATGTCAAGTTCTTCTTGAGGGAAAAATATTAGATACAGTTTAAATAAGAACTAATGGATGATAGGAATGTTCACTTCTATTTTTAGTCTCACTAGCTAAAGAATGAATTATCAAGACAATAACTACCTCTAGATAGGTAATTCAATGTTCTTTATCAGCGAGCTCAAAGATCTTAGTGCTGATTATTTTTCCATCCTTATCCACTCAGAAAATCAGATAAAAAGATAACTTAAACTTATGTCAAATTAGTATTGCTTAATGGGGCAGAAAAAGGAAAGGTGACGTAAAAAAATTATTAACAAAAGCATGGAGAAGAAAAAAATAATTACTAATAAACTATAAACATTCATTAACAGGTGCCTAATGTGTAACTACCATGGAAGTTAAGTTTAAACAAATGTAAAACAAATAAATCAAGGACTCTTTTTACAACAGGGGTTTAATGAAGACAATAGATTAGATTATGAAGACAGCAATAATCACCTCCAGAAATGAAACTTAATGGACTGAACAGAGCAACTTGAGACATTATTCTATTATTCCATCATCATCATCATCAGGTGCCTTGCCGACTGGCGTGGGCGATCATGCCTCTCCACAATCCGCGATCTCTTGCAGCATGTATCAGCTCGTGTGCCGACACACCTCCATGCCATGCAACAAGACTGTCAAGCATCTTCTCTGGTTGTCTGCCTCTATCCCTCCTTCCACAGATCTTTCCAGTGGTCACAACATGTTCTATTTTCCCTCTTCTCATAACATGGCCGAAAAATGATGACTGTCTCCTTCTGATGTCTGTGATAAGTTGTCTTCGGGCTCCCAACTCTTTCAAAACCACTGGTTGCTCTTTTTGGCTGTCAAGGTATTCTAAGCATTCTTCTGTAAAACCACATCTCTAAGGCCTCTAAAAATTGTTTGGCCTGTCTACCGATTGTCCAGGATTCACATCCATATGTTAAAACTGGATGTATGTAGCAAGCAAGAATTCTTTTTCTAACTCTCAATGACAAGGATATATTGCACAAGATGTTTTTCATTTTATAAAATGCATTTTTTGCCTGTCTAATTCTGTTTCTTATTTCAGTTATGCATCTTCCATCTGACGTTATCCATGTTGTTCCATACACAAAATAAAATGCAATATAAACACTTTTAATGACAGTTCACAGAAATTAGGTACACAGTTTCAGAATGAAAGATAGAGATAATGAGAATAAATCTTCTTCTTCTTCTCTTCCACCTTGTACCTTATCGAAGTGTCGGGGGGAGATGTAAAGTTTGTTGATGAGCTCTGTCAAGAGCATTATTGAGACTGATGTTCATTTCTGTAAGGCTTTTCTTAATGCCATCACTCCATATTTTCTGAGGTCTTCTATTTGCTCTATACCAGTTGTAACATTTTTATGTGGCTCGCTGTGGCAGATAGTACCACAGCATTTTTGTTAGGTGTCCAAACCACTTCATTTGATGTTCTTTGATGACCTGTAAGACTGGCTTTTTTCCTAGCATTCGTATGATTTCATGATTTCGTATTCTGTCTTTCCTTGAAACTCCTGCAGCTCTTCTAAGGTATTTCATCTCTGTTGTCACAATTTTACGTTCATTGGAGGATGTAAGTGTCCATGTTTGGATTTGATAGCATAGTGTTGGCCAAAAAAAAATAGTTCTGATAAGATTCACTTTAGTACTCCGTGAATATATCAAATGTGAATAAATCAAAACAAATGATAACTATGGAGAATAGTCATGTGAATAGGCGAAATTGTACACATATTTAGGTAACAATATACACACAAACAAATATTAAAAGAAAAATTATCCAAACAAATTAAGCCTTTATAGCACTAGGATATCAAAAGAAAAATAACCAAAGCAGACAGCGCCTTCAGTGCACTAGGAAACTGTAGGAAAAAATAAATTAAACCTAGCATAATGCAAAAAATGTTCAACTGTAATGTTAAGTCAGTACCACTGTAGACAACAGAAACACCAAGAACAACTAAAACAATTACAATAAACTACAAACATTCATTAACAGGTTCAGAGAAGATATACATAATTAGCATAACATAATGACAAATGTTCTGACAACATTACCCACCAAGTGCCGTTTGATCTATAAAATATAGATCTAGCCCTCTATAACCAATATGCCTGAAAGGCGTAGAAAAGGGTCCTTTACTTTTAATGATAAATGTAAAGGTAAGGGGGACAATTTAATAAGTTAAAGATAATCAAGAGGGGAGAACAACTATTCGGACTGGATAACACACACAGTGGAAAAACCTGTTAATACTGACAGTAAAATTAGTAAGTTCTTCCTCTGCAATCCATAGGGGAAAAAAAGGTAGTGAAATATCTAAAAACACAATGATAAGAAAATTAAAAACAGCTGAATAATCTGAGCAGGACATAGACAAGTTGCAGTAGACAAAAAAGGTTTGGAGGGATTACCATGCGAAAGCCTATGCATATGCTCTAAGTAAAAGGACCATTTTTCCACGCCTTTAGGTATATTGGGCATATAGTGCTGGACCTATATGTTATTGACCAATCTGCACTCAGTTGGTGAAAGGGTCATCATCATGTCACCTGCCTTTACTTTCCAGGATTTTACCTGGTACCCATTTCAGACTGGATCAACCTTGGAGCTATGGTCATTTAAAAAGAAACAAAAGTCTGGCTCCATTTGGATTTGAAACTATGACCTTTGGATCTGCAGGTAAGAGTCTAGCCAATACACCATGGCTGCTCCTATGCTGCTCTATTATGAACTAAAATAAAGAAGAAGTGGAGACAAAGCAGAAGTGACGAAGAAGAATGATATGTAGGTAGGTAAGTTGTACCCCACAAGGACATCACATAAGGAATAAACACCATGTAGTATAGCAACAAATAATATGCAACACATCAAAATGTATATACTTGAATAACAGAAATTATATTTACTATATCCCCATCATGTAGTGCTATAGGCAGTGAAATTTACGTTTTACATGAGATGTTTTTCGATCACCATAGTATTTACTGTTTAACTAAGGCTGCTCTGGAACCTAGGTCATTTAGAAAAGATCCTAGACATTTGAAATAATTGATTTGTTCCGTTTGTGACCTTTAACATATACTATTGTATATTTGTGTAATTTTGAACTGATTTTTTTGGGTAACTTTCCAGTCTTGTCTGCCCTTATTTCCATGCCATACTTTATAGATGTTCCAGCAAGTAGTCCATGAGTACGGCTAGCTCTTGTTTTTTTTCCCAGCCAACCCATTAATATTGCTGGTAATCCTTATATTGGTTATTATTTTTCATACAATGCTGTTTCTTGATATTTTTTTAAAGCTTAGCGACAACGAGGTGGTGTAGAATTATTTGATCTGTCAGTCAACATGGTGGCCATCTCCCCCATCAGTCTGTATACTGAAAAAATTCATTGGCAACAATTCTAGCTCTAGGTGATTAATGAGGACTATTGTTATAGCACTCCAGGCTCCAGTACAAAAGCATATCTCTGCTCGCTCACTATTTGAGCAGTTATCAAAAAGACATAAAAAGGTGCCACACTGCCAGAAAACATGTTGCAGATATGTGTAGCGCCCACGATATGGAGGGAAAAAATTGTCTGGATGCAGGTGCATTCAAGACTGTTAAAGCAGATCAAGAAAAAAAAAAAGTGTACCAGGTCCAGATGTCATCTGGTATGGAGACATTGCTCAGCTGTCTGATAAGAAGTTGGAAGAACAGGCTGAAATTACCTGATACATTTGCCGAAGCCTGGTAAAGACCACACAACAATGCATGGCTATCATGTAATAACAATGCAAAATACAATTGGCAAGCTGCTGAAAAAGATAGTTGCAAAGAAAAATAACATGCCATCCTGTGCGGTTATGCCTCTTTCTACCCACCCTGGGAGGATATCGTATAAACAGGTAGTCCTGGGGGAATGCAGTGCTTTGCATGGTGTTTATGAGAGATTCAACTTGGACAGAATCTTGTGCTGCTGCAGCTGATCTTGGTGATGTGTATAATAAGGAACCATTTACTTCTAGACGGGTCAGCATTTTAAAAAAAATCTTATTCTCAGCTTAGCCATATTTGACTGCTGAGCTCTTACTGAACTTTGCATTATTACATAATTTCATTTCCACTATTTGCTTGAGTGTTTGGTAGCGTAGTTGTTAACTATTTTGCTTATCATGCAGGTGACCCGCATTTGATTCTCCGCTAGGTGATATAATTTTTTTTTAGCCCTTAACTGGGCGGCTGGCACGTTGTGTTTTGGTTTATGGCTAGGCTGTGATATCTACGCCTTTTTCGTTTTGGGGTTTACAGCTAGCCTGCGACAGCGGCAACGTGATGCTCTATGGTCATGTCACAGGTAATCTTTGTTCGCCCTCGAGAGGGCCGTTGGCACTTTGTGTTGTGGTTTACAGCTAGGCTGCGATATCTGACCTAAACTCTTCAGTCGTAGGTAGTAAAGTTGTAACTATGTCATCCTTCACTGGGGTGACCAGTGTTCGATTCCCTGCTGGGTGATAATTGTTTCTTTTTCCCTTAAAAGGGTGGTTGCCACGTTGTGTTGTGGTGTACAGCTAGGCTGCGATATCTGCGCCTTTTGCCCAAAGACATCCGGTTTCAGTTAAGTCCTAATTAGCCTTCCCGGGAGCATCTCGATCAAAAACTATTCGGCGATGACAGAAACTGTTAACTAAGATGGCTTACAGTCCAGTTTAGTTTGGGTGGACACGGATGCCAAGGTCAGTAAAAAATCGTTCTCTCGGAGAGGGAGAGATGACTGGTGCAGAGTATTTTTCTCCCCTATTCGTGAGTATAGTGTACTTTTCACTGTGGGTTCCATCACTGGTTACGTGATTAAGTTTTTTTTTCCTATGTCCGGGGCAAAATCAAACTAAATAGTCCGTGGCGACAGCATGCGGCGCTAACTCCTCTTTTCTACACCGACCTACACAGACTGTAGTGACAGTTTTTGTTGTTGTGATGGTGGTGGCTGTTGTGGTTGCAGTAGTACTCGTACTGGATGGGTGATGTGGTAGCTGTTTCACTGGCTACATTTACTTCTCTGTACAAGTTAATGCTAACTATTTAATTCTGAGTAGACACGGATGCAAAGCTCAATTTAGTTACAATTTTTCGTTACACGGTGACTTAACCATCCTTCGGAGAATATGATATGATTGGGGGAGGGGGTGTTTATGCCAGACACAGTTAGCTGAGAGAGCTTAGAATATTTTTTTAAAGTTCTCATTTCTTAACTATTTCTATTTGAATAATTTCGCCAGGTGATGATTTTTCAATCTTTCGGAGAGGAAGATGTGAGTGGGGGAGCAGAAAGGGGGGGGGGGTATGCCAGACATTGTTAGCTGAGAGAGCTTAAAATATTATTTTAATGTTCTCATTTCTTAACTATTTCTATTTTAATAATTTCGCCAGGTGATGATTTTTCAATCCTACAGAGAGGGAAGTATGAATGGTGGAAAGGGGGGGGGGGGGGGGGGGGGGGGGTTATGCCAAACACAGTTAGGTGAGAGAGCTTTAAATATTATTTTGAAGTTCTTATTTCTTAACTATTTCTATTTTAATAATTTCGCCATGGATGATTTTTGATTTTTCAATCCTTCGGAGAGGAAAATATGACTGCGTCAAGGGAGAGGAGGGGGGTATGTCAGACACTGTTAGCTGAGAGCTATTTTCTTTCCTCTCCATTTCACCAATCTGGGCCACAGCAATGCGTGGCCGGGTACAGCTAGTTGTAAATGTGCGTTGAACCTTTCAAAAAAAGAGATTGGGAGTGTACTGAAAATAAGCATGATGAAAATGCACCACTTGACATGACTGGTCAAGTGTGCTTTTGTTTCAATGTCAGAAACCAGTGAAGGAGTGTACATCCAGGTCAACTGGCGAATGGTTCTCTTTCATGTCTCTTGTTGCGTTTAACATTCCAGTTCATTTGATGCTCAAGCTTGTAAGTTACAGTTACTCGAGGTACTGGATCCAATAAGTGTTACTGAGGAGGACCAACTTCAATTATGCCAAAGGTCATACAATTTCCCAGCCTTGTTAAAGAAGAAGATTATGAACAAATAAACTTGTAAAAAATATTTCTAAAGAACTTTGCTTCTACCTTTTCCTCAGGATGTTTTAGAAATGTGACATTGTACATTGTCTGGCCATCCCAGATGTTTGGGCTTCGCAAGGGTGGTAAACAAGGGTAGTGAGCTATGTTGGCACTTATTTTGACCCATATGAGTTATGTGTTATGAGCTGAGTTATCCTCATGCCAATTGGGAAAGGTCCATATGTGTTCAGATTCCCTCTTCATCAGTGTTCCATCATGCAAGTCATATTCCAAACAATGGTCGAATACCAAGCAAAACTCTTCACATCTAAGCTTGACATACACCAAGCTAGGCTTATCAGAAAGTGGACTGAGGTAACACTGTACTCAGGTGAAATTAATTATTGCTTAAATCAGCATTAAGATATTACTGTTAGCCTAATATGTTGCTAAGAATGATTGTTTGAACATAATAATTTACAATAAAAAGAAAACTAGACTTTAAGATAGAGAATAAGCAACACAGTGAACTGCAATCACTATTGGTTCATTCTGAAAATCAGGATAATTTAAAGAAAATTTCGCTGTTTTTTTTAGGTAAAGAAAAAAAATATTTAATTAACAAACAGTTTGGATGACACAATAAGAAATAAATGTTCTAAATAATTGATTTATAAACTCTTACTTGTATTATCTCTTTTGCGAAGTCTGATTTTGCTTTCTCTGTGTTTTTTACTGTACCGACTATTTCATAGCAACCCTCCTTTGTTTTTCCTTCTATAGAGCTGCTTACAGACTTTATGTCGTCATCCTCTTCTGGTGATTCCAAGCTGGCACCAATCACACACCGAGAGAGATACTACACATTGAAGGACAATTTTAATAAAATTTTAACTATCCAAGAGCAGAGATTCAGTGTATGTATGTATGTGTGCGTATATATATATATATATATATATATATATATATATATATATATATATATATTATATATATATATATATATATATATATATATATATATATATATAAAATGAAACCTTCATAAATATTCACAGCGTAATAGTAACACTTATTTTCAGCAGGGCATAACAACACTTTTATCAAGCCTTTTTCTAGAAACAAATAAGTTGTCTTCATTTTAAGTACATTAGACATGAAGTCTTCAAAACAATAATGCTTTGAATACCTGACACATAGCAATGTTGTTGTTCATAGTGTAAATAAAAGCAAAACCATCCCCCTAGCCCTGATGTTATTCTGTCTTCTTCTTCACTTATTTCACCCCTCTGGGTTTCGAGGGAGATATAAGGTTCTGCTTTTTGTTCTTCTGGCCACCTCAGCCATCATGCTGTTGTAGTGTTGTCTGATGTTATCTTTCTATCTTGTTCTTGACATTCCTTGTGCTCTACATCTCTCTAAGTGGGTAAATTTTGTGATTTGTGCCCAATTTTTCTCTTATGACACCATTTCTGGTTTTATCTCTTGTGGTCACCCCTGCAGCCCTTCTCAGACATCTCATTTCTGTGGTTACTAATCTTCTTTTATTGTTCATTGTGAGTAAAAATGCCTAACACAGCATAGTGTTATAATGAATATCCATTGTTTGAGATGATTCTTTGTGCTGATCGGTAGTGTCTTTGCTGTAAGAAGGGGGCTGAGCTAGCTATCCCAGTACTTTGTTTTACTACACTGATGTTCATTTCTTCATCCAATTTCCCATTTTTGTGTGTGGGGGGGAGGGGAGGGGGGGGGGGGTAAGTTAATGAAGGGCTATAATATGAAACAAAATTAGTAAGGAGGGGGTGGGGGGGGCGGGGTTATGTAAAATGAGGTTCGGAAATAAGTTAAATAAATAAAAATAAAAAAGAATTACAAAAATTAAGCTGTGTTAAATATTGATCCCTCCGGGACTAAGAACGCCAAAAATTATGGATGAAACGATTTTTGGCTCTCCTTTGATTCCACCTCCCCCCCCCCCCCCCCATTATTATGGCTGCCAAACAAATACCCTAACAGGGCCTCAGTCCTATGCAAAATGCGGAGTTCCTGCAGAGGAACAAATCACGGCAAAACTGGAATCGGTCCTGAAAAACGGGCCAAAATTATCGAGGCAAACAAATGCTCCAACAGGGTCTCAGCGATATGTTAATTGCGGACCTGTTTCTGCGACTATGTTACACTGCCAACAGTGTCCCCACGGCGCTATGTGCGGCACGGATTGGGGGCTAAACTGGATGGTTGGGACTCACAAGCAGCAGCAACTGCATCTCCTGCAACTTCTTTTTATTTGCTTGTGAGTCCCAGGCATCTAGCTTAGATTCTCATCCGCGCCGCACGTAGCGGTATGGGGGATATTGTCGGCGGTGAGTTTAACCGCGTTTTGCACATGCCGAATGGTGTGAGGACAACAACGACTTTAATCTACGTCAGAGCGAGTGGTCTTTTCCCCATGTCGCTATTATTGTCTGTAATGTTGCGTGTCTCAAAATTGTTAATGGTTGCTAGTATCGTCTGCAGAACTGCTCGAAATTGTCAACGGAATTCTGTTAGCTATCCGGCATAGTCGCAGAAACATTTCCGCAATTAAAATATCGCTGAGACCCTGTTAGAGCATTCTGCATAGACATTTTGCTAAGGCCCTGTTAGGGTATTTGTTTGGCTGCCATAATATGTGGTAGGAGCTCAAAGGAGAGCCCGATTTTCGGCTCTCCTCCGAACTTCTACCTGATATTATGGCGGCCATAACATTTCTTTACGGGGCTCAGTCCTATTAAAAATATGCGAACTTCCGGCGACAAACGAATTGCAGGAAAACTAGGATTACTTGACCATTTTAAGAGATGCAACACTGCAGACGATAATAGCGACCGTTGACACTTTCGAGCATTTCTGCAGATGATACTAGCAGATGATACTAGCGACCATTGACAATTTCGAGACACGCAACATTACTGACGATAAAAGTCACATGGCTGGGAGACCACGTGCACTGACGCAGATTAGTGTTCTTGTTGACCTCAAACTTTTCGGCATGCACAACAACGCGGTTACACTCACCGCCGACAGTATCCCCCGTGGTGCAGATGGGGGGGGGGGGGGGGCTAAACTAGGTGCCTGGGACTCACAAGCAAAAAAATTAGAGTAAGTTGCAGGAGATGCGGTAGCTGCTGCCCGTGAGTCCAAGCCATCTAGCCCCCATCCGCGCCACGCGTAGCGGCGCGGGGGGATACTGTCGGCGGTGAGGCATAGTCACAGAAACAGGTCCGCAATTAACATATTGATGAGACCCTGTTAGAGCATTTGTTTCGTTATACGGAGCTGATCCTAGTTTTGCCGCGATTTCGTTTGTCGTCGGAAGTTCGCATATTCTTAATAGGACTGAGCCCCATAAGGATATTTGTTCGGCCGCCGCAATATCGAGCAGAAGTCAGAAGTTCGGAAGAGAGCCCGATTTTCTGCGGCTGGTTTAATATAACGATTTTCTAATGCCTAGCATGGTATGAACAAACAAAAAAAAGAAGATTGACTGTTCTTACTCTGCCAATATTTCTGCCCTGAAAGCTATCTAGACGATTAAGAAATATCTTTTTACTCCTGGGTTTCTCTACAGTTTCCTCAATGTTCGCCATCTTGTTTCTGAGTGTAACCATAGAGACCAGTGTTGCTACTTTTCTTTGACAGAAAACATCTAGAAACATGTCAAAAAATATCTTAAAATGTCTTGATTTGCGCGGAAAACATTTAGAAAAAAACATCCAAATGAAACAATCACAAATTACATCATCATCAGGTGCCTTGCCGACTGGCGTGGGCGATCATGCCTCTCCATAATCTGCGATCACCTGCAGCATGTATCAGTTCGTGTGCGGACACACCTCCATCCATGCAACAAGACTGTCAAGCATCTTCTCTCGTTGTCTTCCTCTATCCCTTTTTCCACAGATCTTTCCAGTGGTCACAACATGTTCTATTTTCCCTCTTCTCATAACATGGCCGAAAAATGATGACTGTCTCCTTTTGATGTCTGTGATAAGTTGTCTTCGGGCTCCCGCCTCTTTCAAAACTTCTTGGGTGCTATTTTTGGCTGTCCAATGTATTCTAAGCATTCTTCTATAAAACCACATCTCTGAGGCCTCTAGAAATTGTCTGACCTGCCTACCGATTGTCCAGGATTTACAGCCATAAGTTAAAACTGAATGTATATAGCAAGCAAGAATTCCTTTTCCAACTCTCAATGACAAGGATAAATTGCACAAGATGTTTTTCATTTTTTTAAATGCAGTTTTTGCCTGTCCAATTCTGTTTCTTATTTCAGTTATGCATCTTCCATCTGATGTTATCCATGTGCCCAGATACTTAAATTTCTGTACTTGTCCTAAAATAACACCATTGACTTTTATTACACATTTAGGAATAATTTGTTTCTTTGATACCACCATTACTTCTGTCTTCCCTATTATTCAAACTGAGGCACATTCTTCCACTTTCTAACACCACAATGTCTATCATTTCCTGTAATTCTTTCTGACTTGTTGCTATCAAGACTGTGTCATCAGCATAACGTAAATTGTTTATATTGTACCCACCAGCCACAATTCCGGGCATATCAATTAAAGATCTCATTATATATTCACTGTATATTGAAAACAAATCAGGTGAAAGTACACATCCTTGTAGTACGCCCCTCTTTATGCTTTGAAATGTACCTAAACAGTTGTTTATTCTTTTAGCTGCTGTTTGCTGCCAATACATATTCTTTATTATTTGTAGATCTTTCCCATCAATGTTGGGAATTACATAGCTATTAATATGACTTACCTTATAGAATCACGTCCTAATCTTCACTGGTGTCTGTCTCACAAGATCCACAGGATAAACTTAGCTTGGATGATGAAGTTGAAGCTTCAGATCCAAAATTACTCTGTTATGCTTTAGCTGTTCCAAATCTTTTTTAATACACAATCAGGGAGCTGATAAGTTGAAAAGTGAGATATTTTTCAATACATATTGATTTTCAGGAAGTCTCTGCTTCAGTTGCTTGAATAATGAGATAAGGAAATCTTGACAGCGCTTTCTTAAGTTGTTCTCTACATTTTCTTTTGACGATCCTTTTGTTTTCAAATCATCAATTTTGATTCGATTTGAAATCCAAGGCATGGCTTTGGAGCCAAGTAGCTCTCTAGCCAAGTAGCTCTCTATAGTGCAAGTGAACAAATCAGTTTCAGAAGTTGGCAACGCCAGTCTTTTACCAACTGAGTGAAAAAGCAAAGTGAGATCGTCAAGTAATTTAACTTTATTAACATGTTGAGATTCTAACAGTTTATTAACGTTTTCACTTTCATTAGAATAAGTTGTAAAAAGAAAAAGAATGTGAATTTTTTTTTTAATCACTGTTAATTCCATATAGTATTTTAGCTGGGTAGCACTTTTCACTTTGTCTTGTTATTTGGAAATGTGTCTTCAACTTCAACCATTGGTTCACAATTGTTTTAACAGCATGTCAAATTGTTTACCATCTAGTTTTGCAATCTGACAGAATTTTCAGTGGTTTAAAGCCATCATTTAATCTATGTTTATATATATTAATCAATGTTTGTGTGTTTGTTTATGAGCTATAGACTCGGAAACTACTGAACCGATTTAGCTGAAATTTTCAGGATATGTTTGTTTTGATACCGGATGTTTACCCATCATGGTTTGAAATTCAACCTGTCATTTTTAGAGATAGGTGACCACAATTTTTGAAAAATCTTCGAAACTAATATTTCCATTTTTAGTGACATTTAATTATAGCCACGTTAGTAAATGCGCATGCGCCGTAGTCAGAACGCAGGACTTCCACCATTCGCTGGCGAGATACTTACTGCCAACGTCTTCTCTAATAAATAGAGTAGGCCGCGGTACAGCAAACAAGACTATCTCTATATCTGTGCAGGCAATGATTGCCACAATAACCATATTAGACACGATTTCTATTTTCTGTCTTTTCAAACAACTATCGATGAGTTGGAGAGCAGCCGATGGATTGAAGGGGGGGGGGGGGGTGAGGGGGCATCAAGGACTATCTCGACGTCTGCGCAGACAATGACTGCGACATAAACCGTGTTGGACACGTGCCATTTCTATTGTGCCGTTTCAATAATATATCTCGATCAAAAACTATTCGGCGATGACAGAAACTGTTAACTAAGACGGCTTACAGTCCAGTTTAGTTTGGGTGGACACAGATGCCAAAGTCAGTTAAAAATCGTTCCCTTGGAGAGGGAGAGATGATGGGTGCAACAGTCCGTGGCGACAGCATGCGGCACTAACTCCTCTTTTCTACACCGACCTACACAGACTGTAGTGACAGTTTTTGCTGCTGTTGTTGTGATGGTGGTGGTGGTTGTGGTTGCAGTAGTACTGGTACTGGATGGGTGATGTGGTAGCTATTATACTGGCTACATTTATTTCTCTGTATAAGTTAATGCTACCTATTTAAGTCTGGGTGGATACGGATGCAAAGTTCAATTTAGTTAACAATATTTCGTTACACGGTGACTTTCCCACCCTCGGAGAAGATAATATGATTGGGGGGGGGGGGGGGTAGTGTTTTATATCAGACACAGTTAGTTGAGAGAGCTTAAATTATTATTTCTTAACTATTTCTATTTTAATAATTTCGCCAGGCGATGATTTTTCAATCTTTCGGAGAGGGAGATATGATGGGGGGGGGGGGGGGGGGGGGGGGGTATGCCGGACACAGTTAGCTGAGAGAGCGATGATTTTTCAATCTTTCGGAGAGGGAGATATGACTGCGTCGAGGGGAGGGGCAGGGGGGGGGGGGCTGGGGGTTTGACAGACACTGTTAGCGGAGGGCTATTTTCTTTCCTCTCCATTTCACCATTCTGGGCCACACCTAGTATATAATACACACACATTCGGTACAGAAATGTAATTTTATTCGTCTAATAATAAACCATATTCATTTGTAGAAATATTGTAGATAAAATATTTTTCAAAGTGAAAAAATAAAGTATTTCTTATATTATGATTTCACTTGCTGCGACGCATTTTTACGTTATCAATAACTTCCTGTCAGAAATAGCAGTTTTAAACAAATCAATCAAATGGTTCATAGTTCGAAATTGCACAATGACAACTTGAAAACATTGCAACAGATCCTTCAACTATGAATACTTCATTAATCGGTTTAGTTATAAAACAGATGTCGCGGTGTAATATCTTTTAATGGAACTACCGTTTTATGCTTTTTTAGTCCTTGCATGACTCTTTAAGTCTTGTATTTTCGCTTTAATTTTACACTCGCAGTACTTACAACGAGCCTTAGTCGTATCTTCAGGAACTGACATCACCCAGTCTTTAATTGTGTCATCATGGAGCCACTCTTTCCGAAATTTTGCTTATACTGCTTTACTTTTGATATGTTCAAAGGTTTTTCAAAGTGGAAGACACATAGGAAGTGAGCAATTATAAAAATTTAAAAAAGCCATTAAAAAAAAAAAAGCCAGTGTCAGCATCACAGCTAAAATTCACAACACAGTAAGAATACAGATCAAAGTTAGTATGATTTACGCGCGTTCGTAATGGGTACCAGGGCTGACGGATTGTTGAGCGTTAACCCCAGTGAGTTCAAAGTTAGAGTAATCGCATTTACCAAAGTGTACGTGCCCAGACCAAAACAAAAAATATGTAATAAATATTTTAAACAGTAATTTTAAAACTGACACTGGAAGAAAAAAATATATATATAAAATCTAACTTAGAATGAAAACCATTTAGAATTACATCTACCATCTAGTTCCCGTATGGAAGAAGAAAGGTGATAAACGAGATTGTGAAACATACAGAGGTATCTCTTTACAAAGCCATGTAGGAAAGATATTTGCAAAAATATTAGAACGAAGAGCGAGAGTGATATTAGAACCTCAATTAAGTAACAACCAGTTTGGATTTAGAAAAGGTAAGAGCTGCACTGATGCAATATTTACTCTTAGGCAAATCTGTGAACAGACAATCGAATATAATAAACACCAGAATCTTATATTCATTGATCAAGAGAAGGCTTTTGACAGGGTTAACAGAAATAAACTATGGAACATTCTTGAAGAATATGGTGTACCGGGTCAATTATTGGGAAACATAATGGCTCTCTGTCAAAATAGCCAGAGCGCTGTAAGAACAACGGAAGGTATGACAGACTGGTTCCCCATTACATCAGGAGTACGACAAGGATGTGTCCTATCACCCCTACTCTTCATCACATATATGGATAAAATTGCACAGGAGTCAAACAAAAACACAGATATTATAAATGAACTTCTCTTTGCAGATGACCAATGTTTGTTACAAGAAGAAGAACAAAAACTACAACAACATGTTGATTCATTGCTCACTAACTGTACAAAATTTGACATGAAAATAAACACCTCAAAAACTGAAGTAATGACCATAGGAAAGAAACACAGTAATTTAAGCATAAAGATCAATGACATACAATTAGAACAAGTTCAAGAATTCAAGTACTTAGGATGCATATTTACAGAAGATGGAAGACTCGATAAAGAGATACAGGCTAGAGTTCAAAAAGCCAATGCAGTCAACTACCAACTGGCCCCACTTCTTCGTC